TAGTGCCTCTCGCTCACTCTGGCAAATGTCCATGAGTAGCCTAGATGACCGGATGTGTGTTCGTCATGGCAAGCGAAGAGGACGTCGTCTCGCATGCCTCGAGGAACCACCAGGAGGTAGGCACGGTTGTTCGAACGAGCGTTCTTCTCGTACAGCACACCGTCTCGGAGGCAGAACGATGGCAACAAGCGGAATAAATGACGTGGTATGATTGTGCCCTGTTCCTTCATATGATCGATTATCGGACGAATCTCTGCGTCATCCCGCTGCCGTTTGCTTAAGTCTGATGAGCTAATGGCGCCCAGGAAGCCTTCGTCTTCCTCTGCTTCCTGACTGACGACATGAAGGGGTGCGCGTGACAGTGTGTCAGCGTCTTCATGCTTACGGCCGGACTTATGGACGATGGTGACATCAAATTCCTACAGCCGCAAGCTTCACCAAGCTAGCCGTCCTGAAGGGTCGCGCAGGCTTACCAACCAACAGAGCGCGTGATGGTCTGTCACTATCTTGAAGGGACGACCATAAAGGTACGGGCGAAACTTGGTGATTGCCCACACGACTGCGAGGCACTCTTTCTCCGTAGTGGAATAATTCGCCTCGGCACGGGATAGAGAGTGGCTGGCGTAGGCTATCACTCTTTCGATGTCCTCTTGATGCTGAACGAGCACTGCACCAAGCCCAACGTTACTAGTGTCAGTATGGACCTCCGTGTCAGCATCATCGTCGAAATGAGCGAGAATGGGCGCTGATTGCATGCGCTGTCGCAGTTCATCAAAAGCTGCTTGTTGCTCGTTTTCCCAGACAAACGGCGTGTCGTCCCTTGTGAGACGAGTCAGAGGTTCTGCTATCTGTGAAAAGCCATGAATGAACCGGCGATAGTAGGCGCACAAACTAAGGAAGCGTTGGACGGCCTGCTTGTCGACAGGAGCTGGTAATTTGGCAACAGCGGCAAGCTTGTCTAGATCAGGCCGGACTCCTTCGGCGCTAACTACATGTCCAAGAAATTTTAGTTCTTCATAGCCGAAGTGGCACTTCTGTGGTTTTAGTGTGAGGTCCGCCGATCGGATAGCCTCCAGCACGCTGCGCCGCAGGCGGTGAAGGTGCTGCTCGAACGTGGCAGAGAAGACCACCACATCATCAAGGTAGACAAGACAAGTCTGCCACTTGATCCCTGTGAGGACAGTGTCCATCAATCGCTGGAAAGTTGCCGGCGCTGAACACAAGCCGAAAGGGAGTACTCGAAATTGGTATAGGCCATCTGGAGTCACGAAGGCTGTCTTCTCGCGGTCTCGCTGATCTACCTCGATTTGCCAGTACCCGCTTTTGAGATCGAGAGAAGTGAAATAATGGGCACAACGAAGTCTATCCAGCGAATCGTCGATATGCGGCAGCGGGTACACATCCTTTTTGGTCATGTTGTTAAGCTTTCGGTAATTGACGCAGAAGCGTAGCGACCCGTCCTTCTTTTTGACAAGCACGACTGGAGATGACCACGGGCTGTTGGATGGTTCGATAACGCCATCGTCAAGCATCTCGCGAACTTGCGTACGTATCGCTTCACGTTCTTTAGCCGACACGCGGTAGGGGTGCTGGTGTATTGGGCGTGCGTCCTCGTACGTGATGATCCTGTGTTGAGTGATGGACGTTTGGCGGATCTTTGAGCAATTTTCGAAAGCAAGACCTGTACTCGAACAAGAGCGCTCGCAGCGCAGTCTGGTTATCGGTGGACAGATCAGGATTGATGTTAATGTTGTTTATTGACGTGTCTGCGTTATCCACTCTTTCTGGCATGAGACAATTAGTTACGTTTGCTACTTCGTGGGCAAATTCTATCGAAGTGCCACGGAAAAGGTGTCGATGCTCGTTGCTAAAGTTGGTAGCGAGGAATTCAGATCGGCCATCAGGAACGTGTATTACACTTCTCGCTACACAGATGCCTTGCAGCAAGAGGTATTCTAAATTTGTCTCGGCCACCACATCGCCTTCGCTCAAACCACAGCATGTTACGTCGACTAGAACACTTGCTCGAAGAGGAAGCGTCACGCTCTGTTCAGAAATACGGGGTACGTCGAGACGCCTTCTGTCATCCTGCACGTTGATTGCTCGCTGGGCTGAGAACGTGATGCGGCGCTCTTGCAGATCAATGATAGCTCCATTTTCCTGTAGAAAGTCAACTCCCAGAATGACGTCACGGGAGCATTCACGTAGAACAAGGCAGCTTGCTACGAATGTATACCCTTGAATCTGTACTCTAGTTGTGCAGGCGCCCAGTGGAGTAACGACATGGCCACCAGCTGTCCGAATCTGCGAGTTATGCCACGGCGTGATTACTTTCTTCAGCTGCGTTGTCAGTTTCCCGCTCAGTATGGAATAGTCTGTACCGGTGTCCACTAACGCATTAACTACACAACCATCAATTGTCACTGCTATGTCGAGTGAAAGCCGGCTATCCTTTGCAGCAGCAGGTGATGTCGGACCAGTTTCTGTACGGTTCTGCGTCAATAGGAAGTCTTCAGCGCTTCGACGTTCAGCGACCCCACCCCCAGAGGTCGCTTCGGCTAGTTTTCCCGGCGGGGGCTGGGAGATCGTGCGATAGAATACCGCTGGGGCATTGATGAAATCGCCTCGGTGATGGCGAGCGCGACTGGCGCCTGGCAGACGGTGGTGCATGCTGCTGGGAGAGGTAGTTTTCGATGTCACGTGGTCTCTTGCCGTAACGAGGTGGCGGTGAGTATGCAGAGAAGCCGCGAAGCCTGAGACGGCGATATGGGCACTGGCGGTACAAGTGATCAGCTTCTCCGCAGTGAAAGCATAGAGGCCGGTGATCGGGTGTACGCCAGACTTCCGAGGAGACGAGTACCGATCATCGATGTACTGGACCGGTTGCACCGAACGATAGGCGACAGAAGCACCACGGACAAAGGGCAGGGGCGGTGGCGTGTACGTGCCTTCGTAGTATGGTATATGCTGCGCTGACTCGAGTGAAACTGCAGGGACAGGATGAACGAACAATGGCGGCGATGCAGCAGGGCGTTTCAAGGCTTCTGCGTAGGTTGTCCCACGGTGGTAATCAGCAGGAGCTGACGCAGCTGTATCAGGAGGCAAGATGTCCCGGAGGGCCTGGTGCAGCTCATCCTTGACCACAGTTGCAATAGCGCTAACCGTAGGATGAGGTGTTACACCAGCCTTTTGCAACTCTTCACGTACGGTATTACGGATGAGTTCACGTAAGGAGTCATTGCTGGTCCCAGAGGCGGTGGAAATGTCAGCAGTGGACATGCCACTGACTTGCCTGTCGTATTGGTCTGCAGCATTTTTTCCATTGTCACGGCTTCGGACAAGAACTCCGCCGACCGTCTTCGGAGGGCTTCGCACGAGGCCGGCGAAAAGCTGGTCCTTGACACCGCGCATCAAGTGACGCAACTTCTTGTCCTCCGTCATTCTTGAATCTGCCCGTCAGAAGAGGCGCGTCATGTCTTCGGCGTACGCGGTCACAGTTTCGTTTGGCGACTGGACGCGGGTAAGAATAACTCGTTCAGCTCTGTCTTGGCGGTCAGCGCTGGCATATGTCTGTAGAAGTCTACGGGAGAATTCGGGCCACGTTGTCAAGGGCTCCTCTCGATTTTGATACCAAGTGCGTGCCCCGTCTTCGAGATAGAAGTAGACACGACCCAGTTTCGCCGCGTTGTCCTACTGATTCAAGGTGGCTACGCGCTCGAAGTCCGCCAACCAGTTCTCAACGTCCTCGCACTCCGTACCATGGAACTTCGCCGGTGCCCATGGGCTTTCCAATAAATAGCGGTTCGACGACGTGCTTCCCGTGCCGGTTGGCAAGGTTTGTACCGAAGTGTTGGTCATGTTTGTTGACGTGGTGGGAGCAGTATCGTCGACTTCCGGAGGCAATCCCCTGATTCGGCGGCTGGTTCGATGCACGGGAGTATTGACTGGCACTGGACTCGTATGACGGCTTCCTGGAGGGTCTGTAGCATTCGTGAGACTACCCAGCACCTTCCACCAATTCGTCACGATGAATCACAGGTACGTGGGGGTTTATTAAACCACCGAATAGCTAGCGCTGGGACGATGCGCCAGTCGTGGCTGGCTCTCGAGTCGAGAAGAGGCACGCAGTCTTTTTTATTTCCTCCAGATTGTAGAGCCGCTCTTGCAGTGGACCCACTACGTGTGGGTGGCATTATGCGCTTCTTTACTGCCGTATAATAGTAAGTGATAGCTGACAGTTTCTTGGAAACACGGAGCAGTCGCGTGGACAGGATTATCTGTTTAATTACGTGCACTGCAGCGCCTATGCTGCCCACGCCATTTCTGCAGGGCGGCTTGCTGTACCGGGCCCGCGGATTCGCCGTGTGAATTGCTCATCCCCACTCCGCTCCAGGCGGGGCCCAGATGAGCAGAGCAGTGTGTTTAATAGGCGTCAGAATAACTTCCGCCAAACTGAGTGCGCTGCGATTATCAAACCGTCGTGAAAACGAGATAAGGATCGCTGGTTTCTTATTTTTTCTGAGTTCTCTGTCAGCCAGGGTGTTTAATGATGGGAACACACAAACACTTGTGGTTGGTAAGTCTAGTAAGCTGATTAGTACTGAATGTTTAGGAAACAAAATTAGAATTTTTCACCAGGAATAATTTTGATTGGGGATTATGTTTGACCCTCGACAGCTGCTGCAACAGTAACTTGCATTGCTCCAAAACACACCTGCTCTAAACCTGCTCCGAAACTTCCCTTTTACTCTGCCAAAGCTGCTCTAAAACAGCATTATTCCTGTTCCCTGAGCTGCTCCAAAATACTAAAGTCCATTTCCACCCCTGTAGTAGTAGTAGTAGTAGTAGTAGTAGTAGTAGTAGTAGTAGTAGTAGTAGTAGTAGTAGTAGTAGTTGTAGTGGACAGAGTTTTATGGCTACTAGCATCTGTGATTTCTGAAAGACATGGTTTAGAGGCATTTGTAGATAGCTGTGTGTGGTTGGCTTTTTTCTTGGGGCAGGTGGATGACCAAATAGCTCTGCTGATCAACTCCTGGTGTGAACTCCTTCTGCTGAGCTGTTGCTACCGGTCAACTGGCACACCTAATGAGATCAGGGTGTCCATGGGCAAGTCGGTGACCCTGGGCCAGGCGCGGCACCTTGGCATGGGACCTGTCATCGAACGAATGCTGGGCCTCACAGACCTCCTGCGCCGCCTCCAGGTTGATCAGCGCGAGTTCGTCTGTCTCAAGGTCATCATCCTGCTAACCTCAGGTGACTAGAGTCAGCTTTTGCGGTTGTCAACAAGGAGGAAGGCCACGGTAACTGCCTCACATGCTGCTGTATACCTCAACTTGTCTAGATGAAACTGACTTGGTAATGAAGGAAAAGTCAAAACTTTATTACAGTGGGGAGAGTGAATGCAGGGATTTCAGTGCTGCTCCAGTCGCTCCAGACTGGTCCAAAAAAAAATTGCTGCTCCATCTTGCTCCATACAGTAATTTTTCTTAGTAATTGCTTCAAACCTGCTTCGAAATGACACGGAGACAATGAGAATGATGAACTGTTACTGTTTGACCGACTTATAAGTACTAAATAAACTGAAAAAAAAAAAAAAATTGTTCACTATCATCCCAGTGCCAGTAGTGGGAAACCTGTGCCGATTGCGCCAACCTGCACCAACTGGAAATTACTGTGCCATACTGCTCCAAGAAAGTTTTTTTTTTTTTTTTTGTCTGATTTGCGTCATAGCTGCGCCACAAGGTACCATAATTACTCGAATCTAACGCACACCTTTTTTTCGGTTAAGCGAGTTCATAAATCGCATGCGCGTTAGAATCGAGTACGAACAAAAAAAAATTAAGGTTAGTCTATTGCCATCGACAAATCCAAAATGGCTGCCCCCTACGTGCGTCGGCATGGCGCGTCCGCCATTTCTGCCTATCTGTTTCCCATGTGCGGCACTTCGTACGTGTGCTGAGGAGTTCGTCATCTAGTAGTGCATTAGCATCGACGGCGTGGAAGGGCCGACTCCAAAAACTCGAGTGCACCACGATGCCGCTTTTAAAAAAAAAGTCATCGCATGTGCAAAAACAGACGGAAATCGGGCCGCATCGCTGTCGTTCGGAGTTCCCGAAACGTGGGTGCGGGACCGGCGGAAACAAAAGCAGAAGATTGTCGACAGCAAAGCTTCACGCAAAGGCTTCAGTGGACCACAGCAGGGTCGGTTTTTGCAAATTAAAGAGCTGCTCGGCGAGTATGTGCTTGAGCAGCGAGCGGCACAGCGGCTAGTGACGACAGAACTGCTCCAAGTGCGGGCTATGCAATTAGTCTTAGAAAAAGGTCTAATGCGGAGCCAGTTTAAAGCGAGCAGGTGCTGGCTAACTAACTTTATGAAGAGGAAAGGCTTTTCCCTCCGAAGGGGAACATGCATATGCGAAAAGTTTTGCGGAGGAGTACGATGAAAAGCTTCACAGTTTTCAGAGGTTCGTACTAAACTTGCGGCGCAACAACCGCTACCTGCTTGGGCAAATCGGGAATGCCGATCAGACGCCTCTTTACTTCGACATGCCTGGCACTACAGCCGTCGAGAAGAAGGGGGCGAAGCAAGTTCGCGTGCTGACATCGGTCCACGGTAAAACTACAGTGACGGCAATGCTCTGTTACACGTCAGAGGGGCACAAGCTTCGCCCGTACCTCATATTTAAATGAAAGACGCTCCCGAAAGGAGTCGTTTTTTCGAGTGGTGTGATCGTGCGGGCCAGCGAAAAAAATAGGTGCGCGTTGCAATCGATGTCTTACGTTTTTTTCTTTTTTCGCGGTGGAAATCGGGTGCGCGTTACAATCGAGGGCATGGTAGAATCGAGTAAATACGGTAGTTTTGGAACCAAAAGTAATGTTGACAGCACGTGTATGAGCAGATAATATATGAGGGTCACCGTCTTGTAAATTTGCGCTGCTGCATTTGAGTGTAATTGTATAGCTTCAAGAGCACAAAGTGGCCCATCAATTATTCCAAATTCTGCGCGATTGCGGCGGTGTGTTTTCTGGTAATCACTGGCAAAGAACAAAGGCAATGTGACCACCAAAGAGCGCACCAGTATGACATCGCTGATAAAAACCCTACGTGTGTGGCATAGGGCCGCTTTAAGCCTACTGCACGCTTCTGATAGCTGGCGACTACCTGAGCCAGCAGGAGGCGCCGATCGCTGCTGCCTCGATCATTGTACGGGGCTGTGTTTAGTGTGCACCACTTTGGAAAAATTGAAGTAGCTCACTGTTGTAGTGTGGATCACCGGCACCGAAACAGCACGCTTTCGTAGGAGACTACCCAAACGCACCTCAGTGGTCAGGACCGCTAGAGCATCGCTTGCAGAAAGCTCACATCATCGCAATAACGTAATAGCTTTCTCGCCGCATTTGTGCGTGGTCTGAAGTAGAGTGGGCGCAAGCGGCTTGGCACAATGTGTGCGCCAAGTAGGCGAAGCGCTGCACGCAACTAGCCAGTAGATGATGGCTGCGTGCGACCGTACCGCGTTTCAAAAAGCTGCATCTGTTTGCACTAACCAGCACACCGTAGTACAAATTTATCTCAGGTAGACAGCCGCTTATGTTCGTTTCGTCTCTATGCCAGTCGCTGTGTCGGCTGCTTATCCTGGACTCCGCAGTAGTGTCGAAATGCTTCTTTATGTTGCCACCCCGTGCCATTGGATGGCCGTTCGAGAGGACCAACAATTTCTAAAAATTCGCAAAGAAAAAGAAACGGCTTTGTGGTGGGTGCTTTAGGCAATATTTGCCGTGATACTGTATTTATTCCTTATTCAGTGCGATGGCCCACGTAAAGAATCGGTACTCGGTAATTATGCATACTATGTTTAGTACGCAGTTAGCCGCGTTCTTGGTTCGCATATACTTATCAATGAAGTTTTACTGTAATAAGCTGTGAACGTGTGTGTAGGGAAGGGGTGTACATACGTGTGCGCAAGGTTCCTCTTCAGGAGGCGGGGGGGGGGGGGGGGGGCAGAGGTTCGTCACAGTGCCCCTTCTCTATCATGTCAATGTATGGGGCTGGCTTTGCAACCTCTTCTCACTCTTTCACCCCCTCTGCCTCCCATGTGCAGGCCTATGCGAGTGAGTGTGCGTGCACGCTGCTAGAACTTCATGCTGCAGCCAGCTAGTTGGTGCAATATCCTTCACTGTTTTATGTGCCTGCTCTTCTGTATAGGATGCTGCTTTTTTCATTTTTTGTGCTTACTATGGGCTTGCTGCTTCTATGACTATGTAAACTGAGAGAACATTAAACTGAATTAAAGCTAGATTGTGTTCCTCTGTGTGTATCATGAAAAAGCCTGTGTGTGCTCCAAATACAGAGGTAGCCGCTTCAAAAGCAGATTTTGCCTGCTCCAATGGCTGCTCCCAAATGCTGGAAGGCATTCCCACCACTAAATGCTCCACCGGCATGTGCACCACCAACAGAGCTTGAAGCAGCACAAGTGACATTATATATATATATATATATATATATATATACATACATACATACACACATACAGTGAAAGCTCGTTTATTCACACCTCATTAATTCGAAATTTCGGATAATGCGAAATGGTCGCCGCAGTCTGGTCCGCAGTGCATAGGAGACCATGTGTAAAACGATTCGTTAATTCGAACAGAAATTGCTGCCTCTACGGATAATTCGAAGCGCACGCCGCCGAGCGTCATCATCGTCAAACACTAGTGGAAGCTTTTACGGTCGAACGATAGGTGGCACGACCAGTTTTTTCGAGCTTCAAGTGGCCTCCGAGCAAAGGGCGAGCAAAGTATGGCCTCCAAAATTCAGGGAGCAATTTTTTTTTCCGTAGCTCTCACGCTATCTCAGCGCCTGGCGCCACTTTTACGCGGGACCCACGAGACGCTGAGGAGTCGTCGGAGTAGTCCTAGCAGTCCTAGGCCGTTCCCGGCAGCGTCACTTTGTTCCTCGAGCACGTTGTTCGTTCACGCCGTCAAGCCGTCTTATTCCGCTTCGAAGTTGCAAGAAGCCGCGGGGAAACTACTGCGCGAAGACTGTCAAGGAGAAGGTGGAGATTTTGCGAGAGGTTGACTAAGAGAACTCGAGCAAATACGAAATTGCGAGGAAGCACGGCATACCTCCGAGCACGTTGTCAACCTACATACGCAACAGGACGGCCATTGAAAACGCCTATGAAGCCGAGGATTTTGGCGCCAGTCGAAAAAGGCTAAGGACAGCGAAATTCCCGGAACTGTAGTCAGCTTTGAGTATCTGGGTTAAAGAAATGAGAGCCCAGAGTATCGCATTGAGCGGCCCTATCATCATGGCCAAGGCAGCCGATTTCGCCCTGCGCTTGGACATTGAAGACTTTGTTGCCTCCGAGAGATGGTTTCATCGTTTCAGGGAGCGGCACAATCTCGTATTCCGCACGTTATCCGGCGAGGCAAAGGAAGTGGACGCCGAAACATGCGCTACTTGGAGAAGCGACACCCTGCAGCAGTACTTGGAGAGCTACTCACCACAGGATGTGTTTAATGCTGACGAGACAGCGTTATTTTTCAAGTTGCAGCCAGACAAGACGATCACCTACAAGGGAGAAAGCTGTGCCGGCGGCAAGCGCAGCAAAGAGCGTGTCACTGTTCTGGTCGCCGCAAATATGACCGGTACGAAAAGGTCCCCCTTTTTGTGATTGGCAAAGCACTCAAGCCACGGTGCTTCAAAAACATTTGCTCACTGCCGACGGAGTACGCCACAAACAAGAAAGCCTGGATGACAGGTGACCTATTCAGGAAGTGGCTACTGAAATTCGACAGGCGAATGGAACTGGGCGGCAGACGCGTTCTTTTTGTCGTCGACAACTGTTCGGCGCACAAAGTCGACGTTGAGCTGAGAGCAACTAAGTTGGTGTCCCTTCCGGCAAATACGACTGCGGCCCTACAGCCAATGGACAAGGGTGTGATAAGGAACATTAAGTGCTTTTATAGGCGTCACGTGCTGGAGAGAATGATTTTGTGCGCGGGCGACAGGAAGGACTTCGGCATTACGCTGCTCACTGCCATGCACATGTTGATGCGCGCATGGGAACAGGTGACCGCGACCACAATCGCAAACTGTTTCCGCCACAGTGGATTTGCAGCTGGAAGTGCGCAGGATAGTTGTGACGTCGACGTGGATGGGGCTGAGGAGCTCATGCCAGTGGCATTGCGCGACACTCTTGGGGCGTACGTTTTGCTGATTATGTTGAAGTTGACACCGGTGCATCGGT